CACCAGATTTTCGACCCGCGAAGAAATGTATTGACGGAATCATTTCATCGGGATCTAGCAGCTTGTGGCATTGTGTCACTTATGCCAGTGTTCCACAGACGTTTTTCACCCACCACATAATTTCGCGTCATGAAAAGTGTTTATGAAACTTTGCATGGGCGGACACGTTAAAAAGAATGTAACACAATGTTTATTCTGAGAATAATAAGAAACCCATTAAGGCTTTGACCGGGATGTTCTTTTGTTAAATCTTATGTGGTACCGCCTGATTCGACTTCTAATGGTTAAGTGAAGTGTTTTCTTCGCGGTACGGTCTGGATTCGTAAATATTATGAAGACGAGCTTCGGCTTCAAAGGGTTAACCAGCTGATTTTCGTAATGGTGAGGTGTGGTGTTTTCTTCGCGGTACGGACTGAATTCATAAATAATATTCAGACGATCTTCGGCTTCAAAGGGTTAATACACTCTGTGGCCAAAATGTATTTTTATTGAATGTTAAATCAGGTGGTGCGTATAGTTACCACTATTTTTGAAGTTACATGAAAGCGAAAGGAGTTAGCAGGCGAAGGTCTCTTATTCAACTCCACTTTGCCATTGGACGTGCTGTCTTGTATCGGAACTGCTATTACCTGCCTTCCGAGGTCTTCTGAATTCGTGGTACTGTTAGGTGATGAATACAACCTGGAACTCCATGAAGTGATACCATCGTAATCTATTATCCCAATTCCTAATGAAACGGAAGTTGTGAGGGTTGCAGTGGGCTCACAGTGAACACGCAGAAGCAGGAGGAATATGTCTCTGGAAACTTCGCTCTTTCATTCCGGTGATATCGTTTATCACAGGCCGAGGTATAGAAGCCGTCATAAACAAAGAAGTTGGCGGCGGGCAGACATGTTGGCTCCAGTTCTACCCGAGGTCATGGACCATTCGTCTGCAAACACGTAATGTCCTTGGTGAGGCTGCCATAAGTCGAGATGCCACCAGCGTGTATTTCGCTCCGGGGGGTGTCGAAACAAAACCAGAGACTGGTTGCATGTCCCGTCGGCCGGTCGCTTACGTAGTGATGCTGGAAGTTGTGTCGTGGATTTCGAAGTGCCAAGGCCTGCTGAGCTCCAGATGTTAGCAAAATCTTATCGCCGTGGTTTTAGGTTACCGTCACTCAGATACGCCGACTGGAATTTTCCAGTTGTTTCTCATTGGAGAAATGAAGTAATGAGGTATCATTCTGCCCAGTAGAAATTACACATCTGAAGCCGTGGAGGATGCTGGTTAATTGCATGGCAGGATGTTGATAAGAGTTTTGTGGCAGGGAAGTGGTCACTGTGGGATCAGCTGTCGCTTGTAGAGTGTACTGTGATGTCACGTACAGTAATAGAGAGAAGTAATTCCTACTCGTGTGTTGTTGGATCTGACTTTTGCCTCGCAGAAATGGAATTTCATGTTAGATCAGCAACTGTGTTTTGGTAAGCAATGCTTTAAGAGTATGCAGCATCCGTGGTAAAGATTAGAAATGCGCGAGGATAATATTAAAACGGGATATGATGGCATGGATTGGAGTCACGCCAGGGCGCATAGTGGTAGGATGTTATGAACGTGAAGATGTCCTGAGCATCTGTTAGAGCCTCGTCTTGTTACAGGTCAGCACTGCAGACCCTGCATAAGGTGAGCTCGAAGGCACGCGAGCAGAATTACTTCCTGGGAGGGCTGACACACGACTGGGTGAGCTACTATGAGCAGCGCATCGAGTCGGACCGCTCCTGTCTCAATGAATGGCATGCCATGGACAGCTTGGAGTCACGGAGACCTCCGTCGCCGGACTCCGTGCGGACCAAGTAAGGCCACTTACGAAAATGTAGTCCACGTTCTGTTCAAGCAGGAATTCTGCTAACTTTGCTTTGCGAAGTCTTCTTCCATGGTTTTCAAGTCCTCTTTAGTTGTGATGCGCCTTATAGATCGTACGGAGTGCCTCAAAAGCCACGCACCTGGATTATAATTACACAGTCGCAAACATATTGAAAGTGTGTCCGCCACCCAGTTGAGCCACGCAGCGAAGATTATCAAGTCGGAAAATGGACGCCTAAATTTGGTACAGCAGCGTCGGGAAGTGGTGGACGATATGCCGTTAAGAAGCGTCTGTCTGGGTAATTCCTTTCGTGCGGTTGCACGGCTGACTGGTAATTAATTTCCCTCTCGGAAAACACTCACACTAAGAATTACTAACGCGGGGATTCCCGTGTTGGGATTCCCCACCAAAACAGAGGCACATGTGCAGTGTCGTTATTCATGTACATTTTGAACGAAAATGAAACATCATTACTTTCAATTAAAGCGTGTTTCGGGGGCATGGTAATTCAATGTTTTGAGAGAATTTGTGAGCAATCACTGCATTAATCAGAATCCAAATTTATGAATTCTGGACCAGCAATTATTAAATTATAAATTGCTTTATAATTTACACCAGTGATATTCAACCTGGGGGTACGCGAAGACATCCTAGGGAGTACGTGAAATTTAAAAAAAAATTATTTTATGATAAACACTGAATAATCAGTAATGTAATTTGTTTAATTTATTTTAGATGTAGATTATATACTATGTATAACTTGAATTATACACCAACAAATTTGGGGTACAAAGTTGAAGAGAAATTATATCTGGGGGGGGTACGCGAACAAAAAAGATTGAATACCACTGATTTACACGACTGTTGTAGATATAATTTTGATAGTAACAATTTTTGTCATCAGTTGTTACGTCGTAAAATTATGTGACGATTTGGGCTAAGAATAGAATTTGAGGTTTTGACGGCGCTGAGTCCGCAGATGGCCGCCTTCTGGTAGAAGTTTGCCAACGTTTCGGAGCTGTTTTCTGCCTCCATCATCAGGGTGATGTTCTTTTCTCTCTCCATGGCAACTCTAAGTAATGTGATTTTTCGTCATGTTTAGGCCTCACGAACGCGAGGAGACAGAATGTGTGATTCGCTGTACATTAAAGGAGATCATGATGTCGGTGGACTTGGATGAAGTAACCTCCAAATACATTAGGGGTCGCTTGGAGGAAGACCTCGACATGGACCTTGGGGAGTTCAAACCATTCATCGATCAGGAGATGCTTACCATACTGGGGCAGATGGACGCAGCTACAGAGATTTTTGATCACGTGTACCTTGGCTCCGAGTGGAATGCTTCTAATCTTGAGGAGCTGCAGAAAAATGGGTTAGTGTGGAAAGAATATATATCACTCTTACACTGATTTAAAGTACGATCTCTCACCAGAAGATATCCGAAAACGAATTCAGAATTTTGCAGTGCTGAATTATTTAACAGCGTGGGCTTATTGCAGAAATGTCTTTAAATCAGAAGGTTAGAAGCCAGGAATATGTGAATGGGTGCTCTGTGTTACGTCGTCAGCCAACTTTCCTTAGCTTTCTAAGGAAAGGTATTTAACTTGAAATTTCCTTATAAAATGTCCGTAACTCGATCCCAGCGTCATTACAGTTTTGAGAACAGTTAAATAATATTTGTGCAAAGAGGAGAAAACCACGTAAGATCTGAGGTTATCACGGCGACGAGTATGAATATTTCTGTCTTCTGGGTCGTTGCGCTGTGGAGTCTGGTCGATGTTTTCGTCGCCCTGATGACGGAGGCGGTGCGACCTCTGAAACGTCGGCAAACATCGACCAGACTACACAGCGCAACAACCCAGAAGATGGAAATATTCAGTAGAAAAGCAGTTACATTTCAGCAAACAATTCAGTTGACCGTAATCCGCGTCATTGAACTATTTTGAATCGTCGGCACCACCTGGCAGTGAAGGAGTTACGCCACTTGTTGACCGTACCGGCTTCAGTTGTCCAAAAATTATTCTGAGCTGCTAAATCTGTCTGGTTTTTAATTTCTTTAAGTTTAGGAAGCGTGCCTCATTGCATCTCTCAGCATGTTCGATCCGTTTGGTTCTGCATTTAAAAATATCCAAAATTCTTCTTCTTTTCTTTTTGTATTGCGAGTAACAGCCACGTGATCAGAATATTCAGTCTAATGAGGTATCGTGAGGGCTGTCCCATCAGTCGCAAGCTCGTTAACAAAAAGTTTATCAAAACATGAAGAAGAAAGGTTTCCAATTAAAATTTGCAACTTTGAACATAAGAATTTTGGAAAATAAAGAAGAAGAAGTGGACAAGTCATAGACTGAAAATTTTATTTCACCTTCTGTAATAAATTAGAGTAAAAGCAGTCATAGACTGAAAATTTTATTTCACCAGCTGTAATAAATTAGAGTAAAAGGCGTGAACTATGCACAGAATTATATTTTTCTTTAATCACGTAGTCAATAGAAATATCAGAGCTCGGACAGGAGCGATAATCTAGATCGTAAAGCAGTTTCCGATAAAACATTTTAAAGATTTTAATGAACCGAAAATGTATTCTGGTATTTTTTTTGCAGCGTTCATCACATATTGAATGTGACACGAGAAATAGACAACTTCTTCCCAGGAATGTTTAATTACTTAAATATTCGTGTTTACGACGACGAGAAGACAGACCTCTTGAAACACTGGGATAACACTTTCAAATACATCACAAGAGCAAGGTGAGGATTTTCTTACAGCGTTTTCTGACACCGAATTTTATTTTATAAGCGATAAATGGAGTACGGAGACGTAGGGAACCCAAATATTATTTATATAGATATTTGTTTATACAAATGCAACTAGTTGGGGTGCGGTTAGAAATGAGGTCATAAGGTACAGATTTTACTGTGTACAGAGAATTTATTTTAAGCACAGCGATTTCTTGAGGTAGTACGTCCCCGAAGCAGATCACGTGTTGTGAGTCGGCTAGGAGTGTCCAAATCTTTCACCTGAGTGATTCACTGTATATCTGCCACAATGTCAAGAGTAAAAATTACATATTTTAAATGTCAGTATGTGGCAATATAAAGTCTTCAGAATTGTTATTATAGGGAGGAGGAGGGGTCCACAGTCGCCGCGCGGTCTGAGACGTGGGCCTCGTGCTGCTTGGTCGCTGGGACCGTGGGTTCAAATCCCACTCAATGTGTCGTGCTGTCCCGTGTACAGGTACAGGCCTTGCGACGGGCCGATCCCTCGTCCAAGGAGTCCTACCGAATGTCCATAGATCAAGCCAACGAAGAGTTGGGACCCGCAGTGCTCATTCACTTGAAGAACGGGTCATTCCCAGTATCCCAGGAGGAGAACGACTGTCAAGTTTATATACGTCTTTACAAAAATGTGTGTCGGGATATTTCTCGCTGCTTCATACACGTAGAAGTAGAAATTTTGTGTGAAAATATTTGGAATTCCTTTTTTTTGTTTTGCAGGAAAGAAGGTTCTAAAGTGCTGGTTCACTGTAAGATGGGTGTCAGCAGGTCTGCATCCGTCGTAATTGCGTATGCCATGAAGGCTTATAACTGGGACTTCAAAGAAGCTTTTGAATACGTGAAGCAGAAGCGAAGTTGCATCAAACCAAATGCAAGCTTTATATCTCAGTTGGAAACGTACCAGGGAATCTTGGACGCGATGAAAAACCGTGAAAAGCTGCAACGCTCGAAGTCTGAGACAAATCTCAAGTCCCCGGGACTTGTAGCGAAAGCAGAACAAAGGACCGTCTGTGGTGGGTCTCTGGGCAAAACAAGGCAGGAACCCCTTGAGTCTCTGGCCTGTTCACAGGTGCTTGGAAGTGACTGGACAGACTCATCCGGAGAGGAGTTGGCCAGACAAGGCGGGCGACCGAAGTCGTGGTCACCGGACAACAGCGCCACTGCTTTGCTTTTCATGGGAAATGTGACGGGTACGTTTCGTTTTCATATTCACATTTATGGAAAATTTAGACAGCGTGGAAGTTAATAAATAATAAGTGCTTCGTGAATTTCACATGGAGAATGTTTTCTGATCGTTAACTGAAATGCTCTAGGGGTTTGCTTTGGGGAGACAGAAATGGGAACTTTTATTGTGATATATTTATTCTAACATATTTGTGGTTTATAGTTTTCTTTCCGTTGCGTATTATCTGCCCCACTCCAAATGCAGAATCCACGAACAATCAAATTTTCTACTATGAAATCTGAGTGTGACTTATGTGGAAAATACAGGCACAAATCTTGTGAAATCATTTTAAGTTACGGATTCTTTTAATATATCATCATTTAAAATCTGGAACCGTGTTTGTTTCTGCGATTAACAGTTCTCGGTTGATGCGTTAGAAAGTAAAAGACGCGGTACTTCCGAAACAAAGTAGTAACTAGGTTAACACGATAGAAGTTTGCTGTGTGTGTCTTTTCTTGTTTTTAACGCGATAGAAGTTTGCTGTGTGTGTCGTTTCTTAATTCTAAACAAGCATTTTGTTTCATTTTTCCTGAAGGGATTTATATAACCAATTAGAAATACAATGCAAAGTGGTTAAATTATTTGATGTCGTTTAATACTATCATGACTGTAACAGAAATAGAATATTAGTGCTTCAGATCGGAATTCCTTACTTTTAAATTAATGTCAAGTCTCACTTGCACCCGCATAACAAAACTTCAGATTTTTTTTAAATGCACGTGTTCCTAATTGTCCCCCATGAGCAGGAATCCTCGATTTAGTATGCATTCTGAGTAGCAGAATTTTAAAATTTCTTGCCGTGTCAACTAAAACATAATTTCAAACGTACTGTAATACTCGCAGACTGAAATGTTCTGCACTAGCCGGAAGCAGCGCATTCAGTTAAACTGCGTATTGTAATAATTAAAAAAAAATGTTTGTTTTGATGACAGTTCTCTCTCAGGTAACAGGTCTGAGGGTTTTGATCAGTTTTATGAACCTCTGGAGGGATGAGCGATGTTCAGTATTTCATTTATTGTTAAATAATCATATTTTATTCCTCTGTGTACGTATTCTTTCCATTTATTAACTACTAAAATTGCTCTTAATTAGCATGTACCCTTTTTACTCTCATCCATTGGTAATTAGAAAAATAAATGGTAACTATGTAACACCTGCTTTGTCCAGAATGGCTTTTAGTTCATAGGTTCTTTTCATATTAGCATATTCAGTTAAAGAAATTGCAGTAGTTTATGTTGTTGTTGTTTAGTAATTCAAAACATTGGAAAATAGAATACAAAAGGCAGGAAAATGTGCTCTTAATTGCCCCAGGCCTCAGTCTGTGGTCGTTATGCCTAACATGATAAATGCTGTTTGGTTTCAGAAACACGCAGACATATTTGTTTAATGGATTGACATTTATTGTTCTGTGTGTAGGTCCTACGTCGGTTTCCTTGGAGCAGCTGAATTTGGAGGGAGCGTCACCAGCGAAACAGGACGCGTCTACTTCTGTCGCGCGTTCCCGACTGGAAACGAAGCTGCCGGAACCCCGCCCGCAGGATGGGATTCCTCCAATACTGCCACAAAAAGAAACGACCGAGGCAGCTCGCAATTACAACCTCAATGTGCGCATGCCTTGTGGAAATGGACAAGCGTACAGTGTGTCTCAGAACAAAGTAGTGTACCTACCAGCTTCTTGCTGTCAGGAGAAACAGTGCATATCAGAAGTTGAATGTTCCTCTGTAGCAGAAGGCGTAGTTCCATCGGTGAAGCATCGAGTCAGTGAATTGGAGTCGCAGAACAGCCATCCAAATGGGACAGCAAGCAAGAAGATGTCCTTAGATAGGAAAAGATTGGTACTTAATCTTACAACACAGTTT